CCTCCCAGCCTCTTTTTTTTTTTTTTTTAATATATTTTATTGATTTTTTACAGAGAAGAAGGGAGAGGGACAGAGAGTCAGAAACATCGATGAGAGAGAAACATCGATCGGCCGCCTTCTGCACACCCTGCAGTAGGGATGTGCCCGCAACCAAGGTACATGCCCTTGACCGGAATCGAACCTGGGACCCTGGAGTTCACAGGCCGATGCTCAATCCACTGAGCCAAACCGGTGAGGGCTAGTATTATTTTTTAATCCTCACCCCAGGACATGCTTAGAGTGAGGAAGGGAGAGAGAGAGAGATAAAAACATCCATATGAGATAGAAACATTGATCAGTTGCCTTAAGTACACTCCTTGACCAGGATCAAACCCACAACCCAGGTGTGTGCCTTGACCAGGAATCGAACCAGCAACCCTTCAGCACATGGACGAAGATGCCCAACCACTGAGCGACTCGGCCACGGCCGGTGTGCTTCACACTCAGTACATCTCAGTTCAGACTTGCCACAGTCCATTACTCACCTGGCCCAGGCGACGAGTGGCTGCCTTCTTGGAAAATGCAGAATTTGATGCTGACAACTTGCCCATTTCTGACTCCAGCCTGAGATTTCTCCCTTGAACGCCTGTACCACCCTTTTTTCAATGACGTTAGGCTATCCCAGTGATGGCGAACCTTTTGAGCTCGGCGTGTCAGCATTTTGAAAAACCCTAACTTAACTCTGGTGCCGTGTCACATATAGAATTTTTTTGATATTTGCAACCATAGTAAAACAAAGACATATTTTTGATATTTATTTTATATATTTAAATGCCATTTAACCAAGAAAAATCAACAAAAAAAAATGAGTTCGCGTGTCATAGGTTTGCCATCACTGGGCTATTCCCTAGTGTTGTATCATTTGTTACAATTTTTTGTTCTTGGTAGCACCACAGAGCAGAAATCATTGATCAGGTCAAAATACAATATTTGGAAATTAGGAAAAAAACACAAAACTGATTTAGGCCTTGGCTGGGTGGCTCTGTTGGTTGGAGTATCATCCCGTGCACCAAAGGGTTGTGGGTTCGATTCCCAGTCAGGGCACATACCTAGGTTTTGGGCTTAATTCCTGGTCGGGCAGGAAGGCAACTAGTCAATATTTCTCAAAATCAATGGAAACATCCTTGAAAACAGAAAGACAAAAACTGACTTAAGACCCAAATAGCATACAGTGTAGGATCAAAATGTGGGCCCCGATTATTTCATTATTTGGACTTAATCAAAATTTAAAATCTCTGCCCGGCCAGCATGGCTCAGTGGTTGAGCGTCAACCTATGAACCAGGAGGTCGAGGTTCGATTCTTGGTCCGGGCACATGTCCAGGTTGCGGGCTCAATCCCCCATAGGGGGCATGCAGGAGGCAGGGGGCAGATCGGTGATTCTCATCATTGATGTTTCTGTCTCTCCCTCTCACTTCCTCAATGAAATCAATTTAAAAAATATTTTTAAAAAGATAACGAGCCCTAGCCAGGTTTGCTTAGTGGATAGAGCGTCAACCTGCGGAGCGAAGGGTCCTGGGTTTGATTCCAGTCAAGGGCACATGCCCAGGTTGAGGGCTTGATCCCCAGTGCGGGGTGTGTGGGAGGCAGCCCATCAAAGATTCTTTCCCATCATTGATGTTTCTCCCTCTCCCTATCTCTCTGAAATCAATGAAAAATTTTAAAAAGATGTATTTTTTAAATGAGTACACACTTTAAAAAAATGGATGTGAGCAGACACTTGATAAAAGAAGACATACGGGCCGAAACCGGTCTGGCTCAGTGGATAGAGCGTTGGCTTGCGGACTGAAAGGTCCCAGGTTCGATTCCGGTCAAGGGCATGTACCGGGGTTGCGGGCACATCCCCAGTAGGGGGTGTGCA